CAATTCTATTTTCTCCTTGGAGAGAGAGGAAAACATGTTTCTCATTATGCCTTCTTGTTTTTGTCTTCTCTACTATCACCACATAATCGTTTGGAGTTGAGAATGCCAAGAAGAGTTCCAAAGGCGGAAGTTTTTCTTGTTCTGCATTTTTCTTGCTGTTATTGTTACTCTTTTGTTCTTTCCTAGTGGAGTAAAGGGTTCATTTTAGAAGTGCTGGGGTGTCAAGTCAAGTCATCAATAGTCCCATTGACTGCAAGACATGCCAGCTCGAACTTAGAAAAGACTGATAAGAATTGTGGGATGGATAGTTTGATGAGTTTCAAGGAAATGAAGTTTGCTTTCCCTCCACCAAAACCCAACCAATGAAACGAAAAACACAACACCCTTTGGGAAGTAGAGGCATTCACCTTGTCACAGTGGGGAATCAAATGACAAGTACATTGATCTAAAATACAGAACAAGGGTAGAGGGAGAGGGATACAGATGATGCAGAGAGCCAGAGTACATAAATAATTTTCTGCCACAATTCCCAAGGAACTTAGGATATATATCCTGGCAGCAGGAACAACAAGAGAAAAGGGAAAGGGAAGGGTCCTTAAAGACTTTTTTCTTCCTGTTATCCAAATAAACAAGGAATTTTAAATTAGTTAAGCAAGGCATATTGGTGCAGTTAATCTTACAGAATTAAAATAAAGCATAAGACAAGTTCCATTAGGGCAAGGATTTATGTCTGCATCAATGCCTTATTGCTACTACCTGGGAGAATGCCCAGCACCTAGTGGGTGCACAGTTAATAATAGCTGAAAATAGAATGAAATTGAATGGGAATTTGAGCCAACTATAGCTTGAAATATAATCTGGGCCCTAAATTACATCCTGTGACTGGTATGATCTCGGGAACCAAGGGCTACATTTGCTGAAACCGATAACCTCCAAATCAAGAGAGGTGAAACGTGGATTGTGACAGAAGCTACAATTTTTTAAATTGTCACTTTTGATTTACTTACCAATAAACACCAAATTTGGAGCCATCTGACAGAGCTTGCTTCTTTGTTTTCTTTTGGATGCAACGGCAGAAGTAGAAATCAGACTGACTTTGCAAAAAGATGGTGATTTTAAACTAATATCATTATCTCATTCCTTGTGGATGGAGGAGGAGGGAGAACATTATCCAGTCACAAAACTTGTGTTAACATTAATTGGTGATTATCGTAATGTGCATAGCAGCTTTTACTTTCCTAAGATGCAGCCATTTGATTAGTTGGCTCAATTTTGAGCAGAGGCAATCACAATTACAGAAATAAGTGAAAATGCTCTCAACACACTGCATAAGAATGCAGTTTAAGTGCTTTTTTTTCTCATAGCAAACTTAGATATAGGAACCCATGTCTATATATACGTGGAGGAACTCACAGTGATTTTTAATTATATCTTGGCCTCCACCTTTTCCTCTTGTACCTCAGACTTTTCTTCTTTACATTAATTGAAACAGTAACGGAGGAGTTTCCACACTAAAACTTTCATTGTTGGAAAACTAAGAAGATGCAGGAAGGGAACTTAATGTAACAGTTAGAAATGATCTCATCTGATTGACAACAAAAACAACAAAAAAAATCCAAAGAAAAACAAACAAACAAACAAAACTCCCACAAAACAAAAAGCCACAAACTATACCATCTGTTTTGATTGCAATCTCCAGAATTCTATTAAACCACTGACTCCTTGAAATGCTTTACTGTCTTAATTTCCCTAATGCAAGACTTGTGATTTTCCACCTCATCGTTGGCTTCCTTTTTCCCTCCCTATTGTGCACCAGTTCATCTGATACTACCTAGCCAGTTTCAGGAATTCTCTTTTCAGTCTCTACTCTTTCCTTAGAAGAGCTCATTCATGTCCAATACTTGAATTACCACTTTATTCAGAGGACTCAAAAATTTTTTTCTAGCATGGGTTGGTTGTTCCTCTAGAGTCTGGCTCTTAAGGGCTACCTACATGATATATTTTCTTATCTTAAAGTCACTGAAACTTATCGTGTTCAAAATTTTATAATTTAGCTCTGCAAATAATAGTCTTTACCAAAAATGTCACCATCTATGCTGGTGTGCAAGTCAAAATTCTTTCTGATACTTCTGTCTTCTTTCCTGGCCACATCCAATCCATTGTGCTCCTAAATATCTTTCAGTTCTTTTCCCTCTGCATCCATCACCATTGCTCCAGTGCAAATTACACTTTTTCTCTTCTAGACTCATTCAAACACCTTCTAAGTCATATTACTGCACTGGATTTTGCCCCATGTCAATCCACTTTCCACAGGGTAGTCATTTCAAAATATAAATTTGGACATATAAGTCTCCTAGCTGCTGATACTGAGGCAAGTTTAAAAACCTTAATAAGACACAAATCTTTGAATGGTCTGACCCATACTCACTCTCTTCAGTGTCGTCTCATCACATACTTGCCTTAGCTCTTTGTGCTTCAGCTGCTCTGGCCTTCCTATAATTCCCATTCTCTATAAGCTCCTTCTTGCCACAGGGCCTTTGAACATGTTTTTTTCTTAGCTGAAAATGCACTTACATTATTTTCTGTGGTCATTTCTTATTTCTCATTCATGACTTCGGTTGATTTTCCTTATGAAAAACATGTATGACTTCCAAAACTTGGTCAGTTTTCCCTGTTGTACATATTTATATTCCCTTGTGCTTCTCCATTATGCTTATCCCCTGCTCACGTGACTGGGGAGATTGAGGGCTCCCAGTCAGGCAAAAGGATCAACTGGCTTTTGCTTTCTCTTTGTCCTTGCAAGCTGTCTCTGGAAGGGAGTTTCCCCTGGCTTTGTGGAAGCACGCAATTGCCACTTTTATTAATATATCAACTCTATTTTGTACTTTCTTTCCTTCCACCACATCTTATTCTTTTCCAGTTAGGTACTCATTCTGCAGTGTAGAACCACCATTTCCTTTTCATTTGCAAATACTATACTTACTCCATGAAATAATAATATTTCATTAGTTGTTTATTATGTGCAATTTCTGTTACCTCTAATTTACCATTTAATCTTCACAATAATCCTGTTCAGTACATTCCACTATTATCTCCATTTTACAGATGGGAAAACCAAGGCTCTGAGTGATTAAAATTCACAAAGCTGGAAGTGTCAAATTTAGAGTTTCTGTTAAGAAACCTGAAATGGTACTTCCTTTATGAAGCCTTTCCTGATATGCCCAACAAAATGTGATTTCTTCATACATATTTCCCTGCACTTTGGATGTTTTCCTACTTTGTTGATTACCATATTCTGTATGTGATATAAATATATGTAGTCCCTTGGAGCAGATTATGAGCTCTTTAAGGACAAATGGTATATCTATCTACTCATTGTGTTTTTCTCTTGAATGACAGTAAGAACCTATATCACCTCAGTGAGATGATGATATGGATCAGTTTTGCACACAACATTCAAAACCCTCAATATTCTCCCTACCTATTTAAAATAAACATAGTTCAGGGCCTCCCCCGGTGGCGCAGTGGTTGAGCGCTGGGTTGCGAAGTTGCCTGCAGCCTCTGCAGCGCCGGTTCAATCCCCGGCCACTTTGTGAGGGTCCCACATGGCGCGCAGACCTCTCCTGCCGCCCGCTGCTCCTCTCAGCAGTGTACTTCGGTCCTTCTGCCTGTTCTGTTCCCCGCTCTGGCTTTGGTGAATTCTCTAGCCCTCCCGTGCTTCTGACTGTACCCAGTGCTTGTATGAATAAATAAATAAATCTTTAAAAAATAAAATAAAATAAAATAAACATAGTTCAAATCACCAAAACAAACAAAAAAAGGGGAGAAAACCTACTTCACTTTACTTCTGAGTTAATCAACCTCTATTAAGTGAGAAGGTGGACCAGTCAGTGCTTGCAAACTCAAATGTATGTAGGACCGAAGCACGTAACAAATAATTGAGAATGCACATTTGCGTGTAGTGTCCTGAAGACCACAGGCTTATCTAATGGGAGTGGCAGTTATTTGGTTCTTGCTGATTGTGATCACACTGGATTGCAAGCCTGCTATTTCCAGATCTTTTAATACACAACAGAGTTGAGAAATCTGGAATTTAAAATATGTAATATTGGGCCTCCCCGGTGGCGCAGCGGTTGAGCGCTGGATTGCGAAGCTGCGCGCGGCCTCTGCGGCGCCGGTTCGATCCCCGGCTGCTCCCCGGCCACCGGAGGAGGGTCCCACATGGCGCGCAGACCTCTCCTGCCGCCCGCTGCTCCCCTCAGCAGTGTACTTCGGTCCTTCTGCCTGCTCTGCTCCCCGCTCTGGTGAATTCTCTCGCCCTCCCGCGCTTCTGACTGTACCCAGTGCATGTATAAACAAAAACAAACAAAGAAACCAGCAAACAAATAAATAAAGCATGCCTCTATAAAAAAAAAAAAAATAAAATATGTAATATTCCTTGTTTTTTAAATGTTAGATTGACCAATACAGACAAGACCGATGTGGGCTAGATCTTGTCCCATGACTGGAAGATGTTATTTATAGTTTTTCTTTTATCTTTTGTTATGTACAAAATGAAACTATGTATATGGATATTCTAGTACTTACCAAGTATGTTCTAGACGTCACTGTTGCTATCAGTAATAGCTCCTATAACATTTGAAAGCAGGAAGAAAACAGGAGAAGAGACATCAAACTACCAAGCTCTTACTAATCTTTTGGGGGAACAAATATATATTTAAAAATATTCTGTGAACACGTTCTATAATTATCTGTGTGTATACTTATAAACATAAACATATACCGTGGCATCAGCGGCGACAGACGTCTGGTGGTCGAGAAGCTTGGCGTTCTGGCCTAGCAGCTTTTCCAGCAGGCATTCGCAGCTCACAGTAGAGCCCTCGGACTTTGAGGAGGAAGCCCTGCCACAGAAGGCTGTGGAAACCCGGGGCGCTTCTGCCTTTGTCCTTGGCATTGACTCAGAATTCTTTGAGTCCTGCTCAAACTCTGAGCTGACCCCCGGCCCCCCAGTGTTAGATCATATTCTGAAAAGTGGGAGCTATGGCTGTGTTACTACTAGAGGATTGGTGCAAAGGGATGGACCTGGACCCCAGGAAAGCCCTGCTGATTGTGGGGGTCCCGGTGGAGTGTAGCGAGGCTGAAATCAAAGAGACAGTGAAGGCAGGCTTGCACCCCCTTTGCACCTACAGGGTGCTGGGCAGGATATTCAGGAGGGAAGACAACGCTAAGGCGGTCTTCATCGAATTGGCCGACACGGTCAATTACGCGACCATGCCCAATCAGATACCGGGCAAGGGAGGCCCCTGGGAAGTGGTAGTGAAGCCCCGTAACCCAGATGACGAGTTTATCAATAGGCTAAACTACTTCCTGAAAGATGAGGGCCGCAGGATGGCAGACGTGGCCATCACCCTGGGCTTCGGCGCGCTGGGGGAGGGCGCAGAGCCTGGGGGCTTGGGCCTGCTCGGGCCCTGGCGCTGCCGCTGCTGAAGGAGAGCATGTGGTACCGGAAACTGAAAGTGTTTTCGGGAAATGCTGAGCCGGCGTCAGAGGACGAGAACTTTGAGGTGTGGCTAGAGCAGGTCACCGAGATAATGGCGCTGTGGCAAGTGTCTGAGGCCGAGAAGAGGCGGCGTCTGCTGGAGAGCCTGCGCGGCCCGGCCCTGGCCATCATGCGCGTGCTCCGGGCCAACGACGCAGCCCTCACCACAGAGCAGTGCCTGGACGCCCTCAAGCAGATCTTCGGGAGCAAGGAGGACTGCAGAACCTCGCAGTTTAAGTTTCTCCAGACCTTCCCCAAGGCTGGAGAGAAAAATTCGGCTTTCCTGCTCCGGCTGGAGCCCCTGCTGCAAAAGGCTGTGCAGAAGCAGCGACACCATCCGCCTGAAACACATGCTGGCTCGTGCCGCCCCGACCCCCACGCTCAGGGGCAAGCTCGAGCTGCTGGATCAGAGAGAGTGTCCCCCCACTTTCCTGGAGTTAATGAAGCTCGTTCGCGATAAGGAGGAGTGGGAGACCACCATGGCGGTGACGAGGGAGAAGCAGCGGCAGGTGGGCAGGGCCCGCAGGGCCTCTGACAGACAGGCCAGGGCGGAGAGCAGCGGCCCGCCCCCGCAGGCGGTCGTGCAGGAGGGGCTGTTCCAGGACAGCAGCACCCAGACCATCCAGAGAGGGTTGAGGCTGTCGCTCAAGCGCAGGCAGCCGTCCTGCTCCCACAGCAGCGGGGAGGCCGACCAGGGCCAGGCGGTGTGCCCCGGGGCGGAGCGCCCACCTCCGGCCAAGCAGATGCCTCAGCCTGCAGTAGAGCAGTCGGGAAACGAGTTGGGGGCTGGGGCCATGAGCCACCCCGAGCCCTAGAAAGCACAGGCTCACAACACTCAGAAACCCCTTCTCCCAGTGGGTTGCTGAGAGAGATTAAGGAGGAGAGGGCGCAGTCCCCACCGACAGCAGGGGACTGGGGGGGGGGCAGAGGTGGGGCAGGGAAACCAGGCCCCGCTGGTTGAGCCCCCACGCCCACCGCTAGCTGGAAGGGACTCCATCCCCCAAGCCCTACATGTCTCAATGAGGGGCCAGCACTCTGCTCCTAGGAGGGGCCGGCCCCGCAAGCGAGCAGCCACCACCTTTACAACATGGGGAGCCCAAGCCTCAGGCGGGGCCCCCAGCATGGCAGAGGGTGCAGCTGGGAACTCTGGCCTGGGCATGAGCCCGGTCTTCTGGCCACCCCTAGAAACCCACCCAGTGGGATCTGACCTAAGGATGCCGCTGGGCCCAGAGGCCGCCTGGGGCCCTGAGGGTCCTTTTCTAGGGATGCCTCTGCCCGAAAGGGCCAGCACCAGCCAGGAAGGGTGGCAGGGCAGGGAGGTCACACCCCGGAGGGGGGACCGCAGGATTCAGCCTGTCTTCAGGATCATCTATACCGCTCTAGGGGAGCCCCAGGAAGGCAGCACCCTCGAGCTCCTGCGCGAGTAAGAGCAGGAGACCCCAAGGCCTTGGGAGCCGGGAGAGGCTAGGGGGCAAGGGGAGCAACCGTTGATGTGAGGGGAAGACCCTTGGGCCAGGGCCCTGGCTCGGCCTGAGTAAGCAGGGAACCTTGTTTTGGAGGAGGGGGAGGAGGCTGAGGAGGGAGGATGGGGGTTTCGTTCTGCCAGATCACGCAGAGCACGACACCTGGGGAGAGCAGGCGGGGGCCCGGGCCTGGCCGGCACAGCACACTCAGCAGCCGCCAAGCCACAGGCATCCCCAAGCTTCCCCAGCGACTGGCTGGGGAACACCGCTGAGCAGCTGCCCCGGGCTCTGCAGGCAGGGACCCCCATGTTCCATCCTCCGGGGCAGACTGCTCCCTGTTAGGGAAGCCCACCTGTGTCTCTGGGGCCCCATCGAGACCGCGGCTTGTCCTTGGGGAGGGGCGTGTGCGCTTCCCGGCAGTTCCCGGCCCACACCGCCCCAGAAGGGGCCTGTGCTCTACCGCGCCGCCCTCTTGTCATTGCTATCCAGCGCGCCCTGACTGTCCCCGGGGGCCCAGGGCACGGTCCTGCCCCGGCGTGGCGGCAGGACGGGCTGGGGGCGGCCTCAGGGTGGGGGCAGCCGAGCCACCTCCTCGGGGACCCCAGGACGACACGGGGCCGCACCTGTGGACTTCCCGGCCCTTAGAAGCTCTCTGTGTGTCATTCCTCCCTAGTTTCTAATGTTTCTGATAAATGTTCAGTAACTGGTTCTACTAAATGTTTCTCTTCAATAAATTCATTGAATGTTTGAAAAAAAAAATAAACATAAACATAGATATAATTTGCATACATATCATTGAACATGTATATATTTATTTTAGACACAAGATTTACATACTTAAATCTTACCTTTATGCAAACTTACATTGAATTTATAGAACATGTTAAATTGTTTCAGAGATTTTTTTAAAAATTAAAAAAGGGACAGATCCTATATTAACTGAAAAAGGTTAAAACTTTGACTTGATAATTCAATTTCTTAAATTTGCCAGGCCTTGGAAAACAAGCACCTTAAAAATGTTTCTGCTTGTACTAAAATTTAAAATGATGTTTAATCTGCTTTGGTCATATCTTTCATGTTATGAATATTTTTCAAGAAACTGTATGTTGACAAGAGTGAAAATGAACTAGATCAATCACGTGTAGTACATGCAAACCATAAAAATTTTTCCAAGTTTCATTACAAGAATTATGAGTACTGAATACCACCACAGCCTTATACTAAATAACAGGTTTGATCAATGTCTAAAACATAGGTGTAAAGAGCTTACGTGGACATGGCACGGCATGAAGTAGTTTAAGGATGTGAAAGACAGGTAACATTTGCAAGGAGTCAAAGTTTAGTGAGTCTCAAGTAAGAATGTAAATATTTGGCACTATTTTGTTAGCTTCTCAGGAAGATTACCCAGGAGAATTTAGGAATTTCCTTCCTGGATTTGCTTTGTGAATAAGTTAGACATTAATCTAAGAGATGCTCTTTTTCTTTCTAACTCTGTGTTACAACTTCTTTGGGGGTAAGAGAAATATCTTAAGACACAAAACTTTAGACTTCTTGCTTTTGGAGTTCCTGCCAGGTTACAGGTTGCATTTTTAGAGGTGGTTGTATATTAGCCAGGAGAATGACCAGAGGCAGAAAACATAATAAGACCCTGTGGACTTGGCTTAGATTAGAGGATGTTGGAGCTGGAAGGGACTTTAGCAACTCCTTAGCAGTTGTCTTTCCCTCTGAGGGAGTTAGACTAGTTATCTTCCAAAACCCTTCATAACTCATTTGTCAAAAGGGGCAACTGAGGTCTTAGGTCAAAGTTTATATTTACTGTGGTTCAATCTATCAAGGCAAAGGGAGTTGACTATTAAAATACCAAAATGAGTTCAGATAATGAAAATTTGACAAAACCTTCTATGGCATTTTGAATAAATGGAATAGAATTGGTCTAGTATTTGAGTTCCTAGAAATAAAGTTTACTAGCAAATAATTCTAACCTATCTTGGGTATTTGTGTGAAAAAAAGCAAATCAACTAAACAAAGCATCGACTGCAATGTCCGGCTCATTGCAGGTGCTGGATGTGTTTGGTGAACACAAGCAGTTCTGCACTGTACTGTAGATTTTTATTTATTTTTTCATCTTTTTATCTAGATGTTTCACTACTGGCAGTGAAAACATCTGGTATATCAAGAGTAAGTATTCTTTCCCCTGAACCTATAACTCTGTTTTGAAGTAGAAACAAATTGAACAATTCATTTTGGTAAGTATTTTTTTATCATGAAACTGCTACAAAAAGTATATTCAACTTCTATACAATTTTTTTAAGATTTATTTATTTATTTATACAAGCACTGGGTACAGTCAGAAGTGCGGGAGGGTAAGAGAATTCACCAGAGTCAGAGGGGAGAGCAGAGCAGGCAGACTGACGAAGTACACTGCTGAGGGGAGCAGTGGGCAGCAGGAGAGGCTGGTGGCCGGGGATCAAACCGGTGCTGCAGAGGCTGCGGGAAACTTCACAACCCAGCGCTCAACCGCTGCGCCACTGGGTAGGCCCAACTTCTATACAATTTTGCTAGATATATAAAAGGACAAATTAAGTCTGCCTAGAATTTTATGCCCTACCAAAAATTAAATAAATGCATAATAAATACATAAATAAAACCTCATCAAACACTAGTCTGTTAGGGAAGAGAGTGAAATTTGTGTGTATTTATTGTTTTTATTATTCAACGCAGCCATGGAAAAATTAGATGTGTTTTAATATTAATTGCAACTAACTTAATGGTTATTATATCACATGAACCATTTAAAAATTTCAAACTTTGCTTTTATATGTTCATCCTCTAATTGTTGATATAATCTCATACCAATAATATTTTCATTATACTCTTAATCAAAAAGCTTATAGAAAATATCTATGGGTTTGGTGATTATAACTGGAAGCTCTAGAGACAGAAGTTTCAGATCTGAGTCTCTACTGCCAGCTGTGTGGCTATGGGAATGTCATTTATTTCGTCTGATGCTGAATTTCTTTATAAACAAGGTGGGGGATATATTAAAGCTATTAGTATTGTTGTTAAAGGTAAATGAGAGTATGTTAAGCACTCTCAGCATAGTTCCTGGCATTAGGTAAGCCCTGGTACATACTAGGAATTCACTCAATATTGACATAATATATAGATACAGCATTAGATAGATATCTAAAGCTTTAAAAGTTATACGTAAATCCTTCAGCTTACCATTCAAAAACTGGCTTCCTTATTTATCCCAAGCACCAACACTCTTAGTTTGTTATGGACTATTTAAGATCAGCCCTTTTGTTACAGCCAAACTAATATCATTTCTGCCTCTATACACTACTCAGCTTCTCAGTCTCATGATTTCACTATTGTCATTGTCCCAGAGAGAGTGCTCTTCAGTCTTCTATGCCACGGCATTTCAATTACTTTCATTGCACAAAACTCACCTTTTCTAGGAAATTGCCTAATTAACCCCATTTCACTTAGGCCCACCATTATTCTGGTTCATCTTCTCAAGAACTCTCATAATGAGTTTGCATAATCCTCTGCACCTGCAGATCTATAGCTTTGAATTGTCCTTAAGTCATTTCTGTATATTTAACCGCTCCTTTAGCTGGTTTTCAAAGCTCTTCAGTGGCAGTGAGGAATGCATCTCCTACTTTGTTTGTGACACTCCTCCCGTATCACCCTTGGCCTCTAGCCTCAAGAACATAGTTTCAAATGCTTGCTGAGTGAATGAATCAATGATATTTGATGAAATCGCATTTTTCAGCTATGAAAAGCAAAACATCAAATAGATGCAATTTTATGCCTATGATCTAAAGGAGCAGTCGGACTGTTCTAACAATGAAGAGATGTTTGTGATCATCTTTCTGTCACAATAGGAGGATGAAAGAGGAAAATGCATCATTGTGTAACTGTAATGGCCATAGCTAGCATAACATATATTACTTTATAAAATGTTCTAATGTCACAGTATAAGTGTACAATTCATAGCAATGACATAGCTGTATAACCTTGGGCATGTCAATTAACCTCTTAGGCACTCAGTTTTCTGATCTGTAAAATAAATGAGGGGTTGGATTATACTATCTCTGTCTGCTCTCAGCTCTATTCTTTTATGGTTTTGAAATCACATATTTCAGTCTAAGTTGGTAATGTTACAGTGTGTCTATAATGTGAATTCTGAGTATGTAATGTCTTCGTAGACATCAACTGGTGTTTCTTGGGGGTGGCTAAATATGAATTAACTATATGTAGCTTCTATTTTGGGCAGCTGAGGCTTGTGATCTATTCTGGGGGAAACCGAATGGTTCTAGGGCTAGGATAAATAAGATTCAGTATTTTCTAGCAAGCTAGGGATGAAGAGGGAAAGAGATACTGAAAAAAGAGAAAGCTGAAGGAAGAAAGAACTGAAGAAAGAGAAAACTGAAAATAGAGTTCAAA